CAAAGATACCAAAGTCTAAATAATAACTAAATATACTAAAGTCAAAATTGTAAATATACTTTATGAGGTCATTAATAAATATAATGTAAAATATTATGATTATTGTCAAATAAATTAAATTAAATATTGATTATTAGACAACATCACGTACGTCGCTCTGATCCCAAATTAAGTAACTAAAGCACTTGAGTTATGGAAATCAGAAACAACGACGGTACCACGAAGACCCAGAACCGAGACAGCACAGAAAAGTTAGAAAAGTCTTTCTTCATTCACCCGGCCGGGGACTGAATCCGGGACATCAAAAATGGCGACGCTATGCCAACTAAGCGTCCGGCACGGTTTGCTAGAAGACTTCGGTTCGAATCCGGCAAAATCGAAGGATTTTTTCTGAGTAGTCCATCTTTGTATCAATAATTATAACAAACTAGTGGAGTAATTTCTATAAAAATTGTTGAATATCAATTCAATAGAAATTTAATTACAAAATCTTATCCCACAATTAACAACAATGGCACAACCAGCGCTAATAGCGGGCTGTAAAGCCCCTAGCAGACACTTTATCGCGCGTGATTCAGCGTTCGTCCAACACGCGCCAGTTTCACGCGGTCTATCCTGCGCGATTAGCCTCAACACAGACACTCTTTCCGTTGTAACAAACAAAGAACACGAGCAATCGCGCGAGAAAAAACGTTAGACGTTAGCTTGGACGCACGATTGCACGTGCAGGCTTGCCCGCACGCAATCCTGGGGGCGTAGGTTTAAAAAACCATGCAAGTTCCAGGCTATTTTTTATACGTCCAAAACTGACTGGATAAAATTCGTATTACGACATACATATTTTTAGCCCACTTCTCGCTGGTTATTTTCTGTATGACTGGGACTTGACTAGCTCGTGCTTTTTAGTGTAACGTTCAAAAACATCGATGAATATTTACCGGTAAGTTACGGTGTTATATTTGTCACTTAGTTTAAGAGAAAAATAATAGATACGTATTATTCATGTACGAAAATAAAAAAGCCACTATATAATAAAATCAATAAACCATATTTTAATTTTTGTAAACAAGAGAAAAGCGCAAATTAATTCCGAACGACGACGTCAAACGTCAACGAAATTCCGCGGGTAAATGTTTACTTTGCAGTTTGTTGAAGGCTTGTCAATAATATTTTAAGAATATTTGACTATAAGTTAAATTGTAAGAAATTATACTTGGCTTTAGTGAAAAATGACCTTAGTCTCAACCAATAAGTTGGTGGTTTCTGTAGGCTGGACAAACTGTATTCTACAGCCAAAGAGTTCCATTTTCAAATGCTCTAATTACATTTTAAAAATTGTTTATGTAAGTGGCCAGTTCCGGAACCTTATAGTGCGCCCTATGTACAATGTAGCGCCTTAAATGTAATCGCCTTATATAACGCCATGGTTAGATGCCAGCTTGAGTGTAATAGCTACCTCTATATGAAATAATACGGCGTTTACCCATATTATTACCCAAGCCTATTTGTTTTAGGAATGGTTGGCTATGACGAGAACTTGCACTAGTATCCTATATTTTTAAACTTTTTAAAGGAAAAATTTCCAATCCGGACCTTTTGAAGCAAATAGGCATGGTGTTCCGGATGGATACGTGTGGCGTCGGCGATGGCCTCATCTGCTGATCGTGCCGCGCGGGAGGACCAACCTGCTGAACAAGGCGCCGATGACACACGCGCTTCGCATTCTCATAGCATTGACGTGTTCTTGAGAATACATGAGAAGTTTGGGTGTAAATTCCTTCTAAGTGCATTCCCTTACTGCTCCTATCTAGGCACTACTCATAATGATTATGTACATAATATAAATTCACATTTTTACAATTTGACATGCCGTTAAAGTGACGCTATTTTTGGTTTTGATGTCAATAATTTTGTAAGGAATTTCAAACTTTTTGCGTATAATTTACATTTCCCCTAACGTATCTAAGACGTATTGCTAGTTGGATTATCACTCATTTCAGGCTTCTTACCACGGTATGACTTCTTTTTATTTTCCCGATATTTGCAATGCAGTGTTCGGTTAAGTAACAGTGCAAGCGCAGAGTACTGCTCAGCTATGTGCATTAAATCACGAAAACAAGTTTTCAACTTTGATTCGTAAACAACACCCGGCAAGTAAGTACCCTGATAACTCGAAAGAAACTCTAACGGTTATAAACCTGTCTAACAAAGTACTAACTGAACCAGCATTTAACGTCCTGGAAAAACGATTAAATTTCGCTCCTACCCCCACACGTATTACATTTGAAAATGTCATATGTAATGTTGAAGAAGTCATAGTGTGTAATAAGGTGCCAGTTAGTGATGCTGAAACCTTACGTCAAGACATGGCTGTAACCTTGCGACACGCTCGTCTACCACCAAAAACATGAGTACTCAGGAATCGATGGCTGTAAAAGAACTTAGGGCTGGTGCAACAATTAGTACTGCCTTCAGTACAGATAGTACCGAAGGCAGACAAGGGAAACGCCATTGTGATTATGGACGTTGAAGAATACGACCGCAAAATACAAACTTTACTGGAGGATGGCCATACAAACATATAACATACAACCCGACTGCCAGAGTAAAACGACAGACGGATGCCATTATTGCTGAATGTAGGAGCGCTATCCCAATTGATTTTGAAAAACAAGTATTACATACACGTATCGTCCAACCGCCGGGGCTTTATGGTTTGCCAAAGGTCCATAAAACTAACGTACCATTACGACCAATAGTGAGTCAGACTCACCTACGTTTGAATTGGCAAAATATGTGTCTCGTACACTAACACCTCTAGCAGGCACAACTAACTCCTTAGTGAAGGACTCCAGTCATTTGATTGAGACCTAAACAGTACCACAGTTAATGA